GTGATAATATGATAAAGGCAATGACGAAGAATAAACTCGCTGATGGTCTTGAAGTAGTTTTAACAAAAAGAGAAGAGTGTGATCCATGTCATTTTGGAAAACAAACAATCAGTTCCCATCCCACTCGAGAAAAACGTAAGTGTTTACCTCGACAGCGGTTTCATTCAGATGTTTGTCATATTGGAGCGATGTCATGGAATAAGTGCAAATACTTTATGACTCTAAAAGATGAAGCATCTGGCTATCGAAGAGTTTATTTTATGAGGTCAAAAGAAGAAGTATCGGAGCTATTAAAGGAATTTTTTGAAGATGCTAAAAGGGAAACAGGCAGAGAAGCGATATCACTGAGAACAGACAATGGAACCGAGTACGTGAATGATAAGGTAAAAGAAGTCCTCAAAACAATGAACATTGTACATGAGTTATCGCCGCCAAATGTAAAACAATGTAACGGGATGGCAGAAAGAGAAAATCGTACGCTGTATGATACAGCTCGATCGTTATTATTCAATACGAATCTTTCGAAGAAGGATCGACTTCTACTATGGACAGAAGCTGTAGGAACTGCGGCATATCTTCGCAATCGTATACCGAATCGAGGAATTGTTAATACGACTCCGTATAAGGAATGGTACAGAAAGAAGAAACCAAATGTCGCTCATCTGCGAGTTTTTGGAGCAAAAGCGTTTGTACGCATTCCCGATTCAATGAGGCGTAAGATGGATCCAAAAGCAAGAAAAACAATATTTGTTGGATATGACCGTTTTACTGACAAGGTATATCGAGTCTATGATCCGGAAAAGAAAATAGTAGAAAGAGTTGCAGATGTCATGATTGAGGATGTAGCAGACACAGTTAATCAAGTACTTTTTCCTTTGTCATGTGAAGAACCAGAGGAGGTTTTCGAAGAGTCGACTGCTGAAGAATCATCAGTTGAAAATGATACTGATGAAAGTTTTAAAGATGTAGCAGAAGATGTAATTTTTCCTTTATCAGAATCTGAACCTGAACAGCAAAAGAAGAGAGGATGACCCCTCGGATCCAAGTCGTATCAAAAACCAATTCCTCCAATAGATCGAGTGTTACGAGATAAGTCAAACAAATTGGCTCACATTGCAGCAATGAAAGTGTCACTGGATCCTATTTCTTATGAAGATGCAATCTCAAGAACGGACTCAACGTTTTGAAAGAAGGCTATGGATGAAATATCATCACTTTTGAAAAATCAAACATGGGAGCTTAAAACTTTACCTGAAGGACAACCAGTAGTTTCATGTCGATGGGTTTTTAAATTAAAGTTAGAATCTGATAGTACAATCAAACGCTACAAGGCAAGATTGGTTGCTCGTGGCTTTAGTCAAACCAAAGGAATAGATTATTTTGAGACTTTTGCACCTGTAGTACGATACGAGTCACCCTATTGAAGAAGATATATATATGCAGCAGCCAGAAGGATACGAAGATGGATCGAATCGTGTCTGTCACTTAAAGAGAGGTATTTATGGCCTCAAGCAATCGTCTAGAAATTGGAATAATAAATTCCATGAATTCGTCACATCTCAAGGACTTAAACGATGACGGGTTAGTGGCGTGTAAACGAAAGGAAGTCCTAAACAACTTCATTACTTCACTGAAGTCAGAATTTGAAGCTACATGTCATGAACCATCGTGTTATGTTGGCATAGAAATAAGTCAAGATCAGAAGACACAAACACTTTGCACTAATCAACGAGGATATATTTTTCGCATGTTATGTCGTTTTGGATTGGAGAGTTGTAAATCAGTGACGTCTCCAATGGACCCTTCTGTTGATTTAACTAAATTCGACAATGAGAAGATTGAGGAAAAACGTTTTCCGTATAGAGAAGCAATTGGTTGCCTGGTTTATGTTGCTACAATATCCAGACCAGATATTTCATACGCTGTAAGCAAACTGGCTCGGTATTCGAATAACCCACAGGAAATACATTGGAAAGCAGTAAAGCGTGTGATGAAATATCTCAAGGGTACGATTGACGTTTCGTTATATTTTCATGGAAGATCATCAGATGATCTAGTTGGGTACTGTGACTCCGACTACGCTGGTGAACTGGAAGAAAGAAGATCATCATCTGGATATATGTTTCTGCTTCATAATGGACCAGTGGCCTGGTCATCTAATTTGCAACGGGTTACTGCTCTATCATCGTCAGAGGCAGAAGAAAGATATATATCAATGTCAGAAGCATTGAAGGAACTGCTTTAGTTAAAACCGTTTGTTGAGTCTCTTGGATTAAAACAAACGGGGCCAACAGATTTGCGAGTGGATAACCAGGCAGCTATAGCGATGTCGAAAAATCCTGAATTGCATAAAAGGACCAAGCACATTGGGGTTCGATTTCATCGCATTAGACAAGAACAGGAAACTGGTAATGTTAATGTCATCTATGTCATCTATGTGCCGTCAAATAACCAAGACATGCTTACAAAACCTCTGACATGGCCAAAAATATTACAATGTCTTGTTTGGATGAAGATGACGCCAGGAAGAGGAGGTGTTGAAAATTCATAAGTCCCGGCTTAATCTTCACAAGTATACAATGCAAATGGCGTGAACACCTTCATCTTTTACATCAACTCTACAGGCGGCGCTCGACACGTTCTTCTAGCACACGTTTCTCCTTGCACTGGTTTTGTCACGTTTTGTCTGTCGTCAAATATAATTTAATACTCAAGTTGTTCATTTTCCTTTTTCAAACAGTTATTATTCGACAGTGATTAATAGTGATAGTCATTAGTAAATTTCTCGTCTCGTCGAGTGAGTAAATAAATGTGATTATGTTAAAGTTTATAAAAGAATGCAGTTCATGAAAGAAGAAAAACTTTCGGTTAATAATTTAGTGTGAATTTCTGTCTTGTGCAACGTGATATCTACGTTAAATTTGAGAACGTACGATCTATCGGAAAATTCATTTCTCCTTCAAGCAATTACAGCAATATATCAGAAGTCATCGAACAAGGTAATAATAACTATTTTTTAACTGTTATGTGAAAACGGATCTCGGGAAGGACAGAGGGACAGTATGTCAAAGAAAATTCGTGAAAAGAGGGGGGTTTTTAGTGGGTAGGGAGTACCGAGTTGATAATTCGACTTGGTACTCGAGTCCCACATGACTTACTGGATCGACCGGTGTGTATGCATAAAATGCATTTTCCCCTCTCTCTCGTAAAAAAAAAAAAAAAATTACAGATGAGCGAATGAAAGAAAGAGAGAGAGAGAGAGAGAGACAGACAGACAGACAGCAGACAGAGAGCGAATATATGTGTTCGCATGTGTGTCTGTATGTGTATAGCGATCAGCTGATTGCACCAGGCGCCCCGCGTAAGTGCTCGCGTCTAACGGTGAATCGCGTCACCCTTACCTGCCTCTTGTATCCGACTCGTCATGCGTTAACTACTTTCTTTAATAATTCGAAAGCTTCGGACGAAATTTTGCAAAAGGAAAAATCGTCTTAGAATTGACTCAACAATGTGTCATTTCACGGACACAGAGGTTATTTTGAATCACCCTGTATACAGGGTGACCCATTTTAACTTAGGCAGCCAAATAACTCGAAAAATAAGCACACTACGAAAAAATGGTTAGAATCAAAATTTCGTCATTTCGAGGGGGACGTACAATGACGTTAAAATCAGCCCCCCCCACCCCTCCCCCTGGGCGGTGAGGGGGGGCAAGTTTGAAATCTTAAATGGAACCCCGTATTTTTCATTGCATATTCTTGTAGCTTATCTCGAGAGCTTTCCAAAACACTATAATTAAGTACCTTTTTATTAAGTACTTTTTGAGTTATAAGGCTTAAAATAATTTCTTAATTTTACATAAACCATAAAATATCTAGTAAACCATTCATTTTTCGATTATCTTACCTTCATACTTTTATGTACAAAATAATGAGAGGAATCAATTGGTGTAAAGAAAACATACAGTTGTTTTTAAGAAAAAATATGGAATTGTTAATTGCAAATTACATATTTTTTCTTAGAAACAACTATGTGTTTTCTTTACACCAATTGATTCCTCTCATTATTTTGTACATAAAAGTATGAAGGTAAGATAATCGAAAAATGAATGGTTTACTAGATATTTTATGGTTTATGTAAAATTAAGAAATTATTTCAAGTCTTATAACTCAAAAAGTACTTAATAAAAAGGTACTTAATTATAGTGTTTTGGAAAGCTCTCGAGATAAGCTACAAGAATATGCAATGGAAAATAGGGGGTTCCATTTAAGATTTCAAACTTGCCCCCCCTCACCTCCCAGGGGGAGGGATGGGGGGGCTGATTTTAACATCATTGTACGTCCCCCTCGAAATGACGAAATTTTGATTCTAACCATTTTTTCGTAGTATGCTTATTTTTCGAGTTATTTGGCTGCCTAAGTTAAAATGGGTCACCCTGTATATAAATCCGTCTAAAAGAACCTTACAAAAATAAAAAAGATACGCCGAATAATAAAAAACATAAAAAATATTCTACTTTGTATGCAACCAAATGTTTAATAAAAAATGTCTTTAAAAATAATTTATAGTAATGTTCCTTCACAAAATCATTTTTTTAAAAAACAAAACAAATAATTTTTCTAAAAAAATAAAATATCAAAACTAATATGAAATCATATAATTATAGATAGATCTCATTGAAAGCAAAAACAACAATCGTAGATCGAAAAGTTGCAAATCCATGTATAGTCTACGTTTTTTAACATGTAAATATCTCATAAACTATACCAAATACCGTCGATCAAGACAAGCAAATATTAATCAATATTTCTCATCTCTACAATATATACTTATCAAAATCAAGATCATGAGAGATGCATTAGTTACTGTAAATAATTATTTATTTCTGTAACGTGTGAGTTTCTGCAATTGAAAATAAAATATCTTGTTTTGTTTATAAGATTAGATATCAAAAATAATTAGATAATTTTTTAATAATTATCACTGATCGTTTAGCATACCTGCAGCTGTACCGATAGCTACACCGCCAGCCAAAGTTGAATTTTGCACATGCACCATGTTGAATTTGTTGTCTTTAGAAACGAATGCGGATACGGCGAATGTGATTACGCAGCTAGCAGATATCGAAAGCAGAGTATTTATTATGGCTCGCTGTTGATCATCCCCTATCAAGTCTACACTGTTAAATGATGGCCAGAACAGCCATAAAAACACCGTGCCTGAAAAATAGTGATTGATTATTATTAATTCTAATAGCTCAATAGCGTTTATCTTATAAAGTCTAATACAGTCTAAAAAATATATGTTATGTATGTAATAACTATCTTTCAGCGTCTGTAAAATAAACAAGAAAATTTAAAAAGTAAAAAAATTATTAAATATTTAAAATATTAATCGTTTAATAAAACATCAAATTAATATGTAACTTGTGTTTATCGTATATCAATTTATATAATCAATATTAACTATAAATAATTTATAAAGTTTATATTACTTAAAAATATATTTCAACGTAAAATATATTTTATAAGTGATAAAATTTCAAATTTAAAATTCACAAAATCGCCTTAAAATTAAAATATAAAAATTCACACTTCACACAAGTTATGTTAAAATATACATCTTTGTAAATTTACAAATAATTTTAATGATTCTAATAATTCGCCAATATCGATAATATCCTATATGATAGTATTTATTAAATGATATATTATAATATTGCAATAATTCCGTAAGAAAAACATTGCAGAAAACTTTCTACAAAACTAATATACAGGGTGCGCCAAAAGTCTGGATACATCTAAATATCTCACAAACGATGCATTTTAGAAAAAAATGTTTCAGGCAAAAGTTGTTGGTTTCGAGGGGGCATAAGATGGTACCATTGGTTTGACCTTGAAGAGTCATTTGAAGGTCACGCAAAAGTCACTTCAATTTTTTTAAATGGAACATCCTATATATTTTTATATATTCTTGTAGCTCATCTCGAGATCTTTCCAAACCACTATAATAAAGTATTTCTTCATTGAATACTTTTCGAGTTATAAGGCTTGAAATAATTTCTTAATTTTACATAAACCATAAAATATCTAATAAAATATTCGTTTCTCGATTATCTTACCTTAATATTTTTATGTACAAAATAATGAGAGGAATCAATTGGTGTAAAGAAAACACATAGTTGTTTCGAAGAAAACATATGTAATTTGCAATTAACAATTACATATTTTTTCTATATATATATATATATTTTCTTTATTTAATTTTTCCTTAATTATTGCGATAATCACAAAACAATTGAGGTCCTTCCTTCTTAATTTGAACCAATCTACCTCCTTACTTCGTAAAGGTTATCTTGTAAAATATTCATTTTTCGATTATGTTACCTTAATACTTTTATGTACAAAATAATGAGAGGAATGAATTGGTGTAAAAAAAACATACAGTTGTTCTGAAGAAAAAATATGGAATTGTTAATTGCAAATTACATATTTTTTCTTAAAAACAACTGTGTTTTCTTTACACCAATTGATTTCTCTCATTATTTTGTACATAATCATTATTTTGTACATACCCCTAGAAACCAACACTTTTGTCAACTTTTGTCTGAAACATTTTTTCGATTTTTCATTATTTTCCGAAATATTTGCCTAGGGAAATTAAAATGAGACACTCTGTATATATATATATATATATATATATATATATATATATGTATATATATATATATATGTATATATATATATATATGCGCGCGCGCATGCAAATACATATATGTATATACAGTATCAGTCAAAGATATATCATCTTATTTTTAGCATAACTTAATTCAAAGTGTATATATAAGTGTATATTTAATTAATTTTTCTTAAATTTTTGTGTTCATTATTTAAGGTAGTTGTACCCCGAAATCAAAATGTTGAAAATTTGCTGATTTTTTTAGCAAAATTTATTTTTGTTGTAAACAACACGTGAAATTTTGAATCGATTGTACAGTTTTCTGAATATTCGCAGTCAAAGTTCTTACTTTTCATAATGATTAACATAGGGCAAATGGCGTCGACAACGACAAAATGTGTATTTTTATTTTTTGTAAATGACGAAACATTGAAATTTACTCCAAAATTCGCACAAAACTAGTTAAAACCTTTATGAAGAGGATATTTTTTTGGGGGAAGGGCCATCCATACAGTTGTAGAGTAATATTAATCCAAAAATTGACATTAATCTATTTTCGGGATATCTCGATGAACAACTGCTGAAGGAATTGTACACGTGGCAACGTTGCCTGACCGCGCGGCGCGCGCGTGGCGCTCGATTCAAACCGATCGAAATATGGTTTGGTTACTAGGTATTTAAGAAAAAAGCAAATATGTTCATGTGAAAATATAAACGATTTATTTCAATAAATATATTTGTAATAACATTATTTAGATTTATTTTGACGCATTTTTAACCGATGACATTTTGCATGAGCAACGCGACGGTAGAGGTTATGTAATGACTTGAGAAAAGTAAATATCCAACCTATAACTCAACTAAGAGAACGCGACGTCTAAACTTTTCATTTTCACTACGTGGAGCATTAGTCAATTAATTTTTGTTCATGTTATTATAATTTTGTATTACAATGTAAATAGTTTTAATACGAATTGTATTTCTCCTATTAAGATTTTTAGTGTAGAGATTTTATATATTTTTTGCACTTTTTATGTCATTCTCTACATTGACTGGTGCAGTCGGGGTACAACTACCTTAATGAAAAGTTTTTTGTTAAGTAATCTATACCTACTATTAAAACATGTGACTAGACAGAAATATATACACTTTGAATTAAGTTATTCTCCAAAAACATAAGGATGATATATTTTTGGCCGGTACTGTATATAATCATACTTTTAATTTGATATTCATGGTTATTTAATATTAATTTAAAAAATTATTAAATGTAAAAAAATGTTTAAAAGAATATTCATATAAACACAGTTATTCAAATAATTTCAAAATTATTATTGTGTACGAATATTGTGTTCTCACAGAAAATTTCAGGACATTAGAATCATATCAGAACATTAGATAATTTAAATTAATGCAATAGTTAAAAGATTAATTTATGTGGCACGTACCGATCATGGCAAATATATCTGATTGATAAGACGATCCTTCAAGTTCATGTTCTTTTGGTTGCTCCTTCATTCCAAATACAAAGCTAATAGCTAATCCAAAGTATGCACCAAACACGTGAACAAACATACTACCACCAGCATCGACGACCTATAAAAGATATATACATATTATTACATTTATATGTACGCACGCACGTACATGTAAAAGGTCTCTTTAAAGTTTCCACTAAAAGAATATCTCTTTAGGAAAGTATTTAAGACAAAAATGTTTTTAATAAAAGTTGGAGGGAGTTCAAAGGGAGACATAAAATGATACCATTGATTTGACCTAGAGTAGTACATTTGAAAGATATATGAAGTGCATTTCTAATTTTTTAAACAGGAACTACTATTTTTCATTGCATATTCTTATAGTTTATTTCGAGAGCTTTCCAAAACACTATAATAAATTATTTTTCCATGAAGTACTTTTCGAGTTACAAAATTTGAAATAATTCCTTAATTTTACAAAAACTATATCAAAAATATCACGTAAAATATTTATTTTTCGATTATCTTATCTTAATACTTTTATGGACAGAATAAGAGGAATGGATTGATGTACAGAAAACACATAATTATTCTTTAAAAAGACATGCTTCTTATTGCATCATATCAAAATTCATATTTTTTTCTTAAAAACAGCTATCTATTTTCTTTATTATACCAATTGATTCTTCTCATTTTGTGCAAAAATATTGAGCTAAAATAATAAAAAAATGAATTTTACGAGATATTGTACAGTTTATGTAAAATTAAGAAATTATTTTATTTTAAAAACAAAAGAGGGGATAACGGTCCGTAAAATAGCAATCAGAATTTGATAAAAGAGAAAGACTAAGGCGTGACGTAGAGTGTTATTATTACGTAATTAAAATTACAGAACATCAGTTTTATGAGCAATAGGATGGTGAGAGAAGAAATTCAAAAATCTTTCAGAGAAGATTGGTTTGCGGAGCCAATTAAATTCTAAATGATTTTTATTAACTATCAAATAGAGTATCTAAGAAACTAATAGTATTATTGTTAGCATATTCGATAGTAAACTGTAATCTCTTGTGAAAGGACTTGTTAAAGACTTTTAGGATGATGGAGACATGAAAAGAGGGGGCTATCAAAATGATGTCATCAACATATCTATAATAAAAAAAGAGAGGAACAGGGAAAGAGGAGATGGCTCTATCTTCTAAATCCTACATTACAATGTTAACCAATATGGAAAAGAACAGGAAGCTTATAGGCATGCCAAAAATCTGTTTATAAGTTATATTTTAAGTTATATTTCCTTCACCATTATTCCTTTTTTCCTTCCTCCTTCCCTTTTTGTTTTCTACATCTTTCTTTTTCAGTAATGTCTCGGTCTTCGTTACGTTCATGCCTCTTTTCTCTCTATACATAGCTTTTTCTCTTATCTTTGCACCCTTCCACATATACATGCATAGTTCGCTTTTAGTACCGTTCGCTCATTTCATCTCGATTCTCTCTAACTATTTCTAACGGCTTTACTCTATCCTAATGTACGTTTTTTATTATTTTTCTTTTTGAAAAATCTGTTAACGTCTTTGTTTCTATGCGTGGCATATTATTTTTTTGCTTAAACTTTTTTTTTGCGCATTTTTAAATAGGCTTCCACCTCGCTATCAATCAAGTCTATTTCTTCCGGCACATCTGAAAAGGTTTGGATGTTGGAAAAGTCCTCACGATTTTATTGCATTGGGACTATCATATTTTTTATTAAAATGACTCTCATCAATATGAACAACCTTCTATAATTCGAAGTTCTGTTTATTTTAATAAGGCAATGTATATCTTTCTTGATTTCTCGTTATCACTTGGATGATTTTGATATCAAGGTGAACATTGCGCTTTTTGCTTGAATGTGTCATCGCTATTCATATATATTTTTATATGCATATATATATTTTTATTTATTTTTATTTTATTATTTTGTACAAGCGCTTTTATTTCTTGATCGTTATTATTTGCGTTTTATTAGTCGACCGTTTGAATTTGTGTTTGACTTTTCGATTATTTTGTACTGCGCGCGCCTTTGCAACGTTTGCGTTCTAATTACGTTATGCGATCCGTGTAAGACATTGAAAAACATCCGCATTGCATCGAAACGTACGTCTGTCGATTTTTTTGTATTCGTATTTTATTTTTTTCTCGACGGATAATGTTTTGTTTCTATCAATTATTAAAGAATACACTAGGACTGTGAATTAATTTTGAGGAATTTTTTTGTGAATTCAAGACTTTATTGTGAAAAATTGTGTACATTATTATTTTTCGAAGTATTGTCCATCGCTAGCCATCCTACTTTTTCCCATCTTTCTGGCAGCATACGGATTCCGCGTCGAAAGAACAACTCATCTTTTGATGCTATCCACCAATCGATCCAATTTTTCGTATCTTCGTAAGATTGGAAGCGCTGCTTAGCCAGGCCGTGTTCCATGGAGGGTCCCGTTAGCGCACGAACTCGATAGCATACAAAAAATTGAACACAATTCCCGATAGCCCACGTCCCAATAGCGCACCAACCCGATAGCGCGCCAACCCGATAGTGCACCAACTTTGCACCAAGTACAACTTTGCACGCGAAGCGAGGGGGACGGGGTGGATGCGAAGGGTACGAGGGGGTCGAAAGTCCCCTTGCACCCCCCCCCCCGTGTATGTATGTGTGTGTGTATATGTATCTCTTCGCATGCAAAGTTGTACTTGGTGCGCTATCGGATTGGTGCGCTATCGGGTTGGTGCATCATCGGGACATGGGCTATCGGGAATTGTGTTCAATTTTTCGTGTGCTATCGGGTTCGTGCGCTATTGCACCGTGCGCTAACGGATCCCGCTCGAGTTCCCCGAGGGTCCGGAAGATTTCGAAGGAGATCTTCCCGACCTTGAAGAGAACTCCTACGACTTTGACTTCCCTCCAGAGTCCCCGTCAGAACATCCTCTTCATAATGCAACACCTGAACCTTCTCATCCCGATCTTTTAAACTATTTCATATCTCAGTTCCCCCTCCTCGATTTCCCCATTCCTGAAGGATCTTTTTGCGTGAGTCCCGATCATGTGGATCACGAACAGTTCCTTCATTATTTAACTACTGCCCCTTCCGATTCAATAATTCCCTGGTATCTTACTGGGTCACACCTTCCATTAGGTAGACGTTCCCATTCAAGCCCTGTTAAGGAAATTCCTTCCGTCCACCATCCAATTCGATGATCCTTGACCTTTTATCCTCTCCTCAATCTTTTCCTTTAGTTACAAATTTAAATAGAAGAATTGAAAATACAACCAAACTATTGTAATAATTCAGCCAGGATTAATTAAGGTTAGATCTCCCATTATTTATCCTGACTCCCCCGAACTATTGTAACACCCGAAATTCCACACACACACATACACATTCACAAATATAACACACAAAAGATTTTAATCATATCATAGCGTAAACTTTTGTAAATATGTTTTCTATATCGAATAATCATTGAATAAATTTTAATTCATAGTTTAAAAGAAAAATTCTATTTTCTTTTGCCCGCTCACTTTCCCGGATTCCCAAAATCGCACGAAATCCCGTCCCGAGTAAAAGAGATTCGATTCTCTTATCGAAAAGGGACTAACGAGCGTAACGGCCTAAGACATTCACAGAGTTAAAGGGACCATTCTGGTCATTGACTTGTATCAGATCCCTGACAGTACGCTCGACCTTACACACGCCCGAAAAGTGTGTCACCGGGTAAGTAGATTGCGTCTTTCCAGATGGCCCGACCTTTCAAAGGTCTGGACGTAACAATTCGAATGAATTAATAAATAGAGGAAAAATAAATTATCGAATCGAATTTAAAAAATCATTTACAAATCTAATGCATTACAATTCATCAATAAAGATTGCAGACAAAACGGATATGATATTAAGAAAACATTAAAATAATATTAAAATACTTTTTTTCGGCATTATAGTGTGTGTGTGTGTGTGTGTGTGTGTGTATGTGTGTGAAATTTTATATGTATATTGTGTCTAATTTAATGAAATAGATTGTAGTAGTGTTGGAAGTGCATTATAAGTGCTTGAAATACAAATAAAAGTGCAAAGCGTTGTAATCCATCGCAGAAAAAGGAATAACAGGAAGAAGAACATGGAAAACGCGCGAAAAATTTAAAGTAATTTATCGTGATGGACAGAATTTTAAGTTAATAGGCACGAAACATCATAGTATGGGATTAATCAGAATTCTTAAGATATAACATTTATATAAATATTAATTTTATTATTAATCTTTTTTTTAGAATAAATTGTACAGGATATCCCATGACTGAAAGTCCATACTTTAAGATATGTGCTGATGCCGTTTAGAGTAAAAAAAGTCTAATAAACATATGCGATCCGCAAATGGTTCCTAACAAAAATACAAGTATTGAAAGTTGAATATTTAAAAAAAGAAAGGAAATCACTACTTAGGCGTTAGCTATAGCTACAGCTCGAGAGAAAAGAAGACTATAGATTATACGTCGACGCTCCTCTACTACCCGAAGCCGCCCGAAGGTAGCCGAGCGCCACCTTTCTTGCGTGCCGAGCGTGCAGGGGCTCATTTCTGCAGCACTGTCAGCAACACGCCCTTAAAGTATGGGCCTTCAGTCATGGAACACTCTGTATATATATATTTTCGTCAAAAAAGAACATTATTGCAATAAAAGCGAGAAACAAAAAATGTTACATGTCTTTTAAATAATTAAAATAACTAAAATTAGAAATAACTTACCATAAATAAATGCTCGCCTATGTATTTGTTGATAGTAAACATGATCAATTCCACTATTCCCATAAATACTAGCTGCATGTAAGTCACCTTACCCAGGATTGCACCCATAGAAATGAGTGGTGTAGCAACAGCAACATCGGCACTAAGAAGGCTGAAAAATTTTGCACGAAGATGATAAGAAATATACAGGGTGTCGCAGACTACCTGTATTAAATGGAACACTATATTTTTTATTGCATATTTTTGTAGCTGACTTAAAGAGCTTTCCAAAACACTATAATTAAGTTAGTTTTTCTTAAGTAGGGGAAGGTGGGGTAAAACGGTCCGCTGGGTAAAATGGACCAATTGCTAGATTTTACTAAATAATCTCATAATCTATATGATAATTATAAAATTGACTTCCTTTTTGGCACTTTTCAACTGTTCAAAAGTTGCATCGTCATGCCAACAGTCTAGCGTGAATTATTTATAAACAAACGTCAAGTTTTATAAAGCTGATTTTATGATGTAATTTTGATGTGTTATATTTTGAGTGGCTAACTCTATCAAAATTAAACATTTTCAATTTTAGTCTACATTTCTTTTTTCTGGATATCAGAAGGTAATATTTGTTGATGGATTACATTAAAATCGAAATTTTAATATAAATTAAAATATTATAACGCTAAATGTTGTCATATGGGGTAAGAAGGACATGAAATTGTGGGGTAAAACGGATCAATCTAATATGCACTTTTTCCTGTTTCTTTTCTTTATAGTTCCCAAAAATGCCCAGAAATTATAAAAGAACATCTGATCGATGTAAATGGAGTGAGAAAAATTTACATGGAGCTTTAAAAGCTATGTTAGAAGAAAATATTGGTAAATTAGAAGCTGCAAGAAGATTCTCTGTTCCAGCAACAACTCTTTTTCGCAGATTTAAAGCTTTAAAAACTCAATTAGAAGTAAATCTTACGCCAAAATTAGGTAGTAGAAAGCCTGTTTTTTCAAAAGAACAAGAAAAAGAATTAGCAAATTATATCTTAGATATGGAAAGAAGACTTTTCGGTTTAACTACTTACGATGTACGGAAGTTGGCTTATGAATTAGCAGAGAAAAATTCTATAAAACATTATTTTTCCGAAAAATCAAAAATTGCTGGAAAAGACTGGCTTGTAGGATTTTTAAAACGAAACTCTCAAATTTCTGTCAGGAAACCGGAAGCTACAAGTGCAGCTCGTGCAATGGGATTTAACAAAATTGTCGTTGAAACGTTTTACGAGTTATTAGGTAATGTTTTAAACAAATACAAATTTTCTCCTGATCGAATCTTTAATTGTGATGAAACTGGTATTTCTACAATATCCAAGTCTCAATCCAAAATTCTTGCGCGAAAAGGTCGGAAACAAGTTGGCGTACTTTCCTCTGCAGAAAGAGGTCAAACGGTGACCGTTGAAATATGTGTTTCGGCTTCTGGCAGTTATATGCCACCTATGTTTATTTTTCCCCGAGTGAGAATGAATCCTCTATTAATCAATAACAGTGCCTTTCCAGGAGTTTGGGCTGAAACTGATAAGTCAGGTTGGATGCAAACTGATATTTTTTTAAAATGGTTTGATCATTTTATACAATTTACAAATGCTTCACAAAACAATCCAGTTCTCCTATTGCTTGATGGTCATGCAACTCACGTTAAAAACATTGAATTAATCAATAAAGCTCGAGATAATGGTGTCGTTATTATTTGTTTTCCTCCTCATACGACGCACCGTTTGCAACCTCTTGATGTAGGTTTTATGAAACCTTTGAGTTCATATTATGATATTGAAACAAGAAATTGGTTACGTAATAATCCAGGAAAAGTTATAACTTCTTATCAAATTGTACAATTATTTACTCAAGCATTTGTTAAAGCAGCAACAATACAGACAGCGTTAAATTCTTTTAAAAAAACTGGAATATCACCATATAATTCGTTCAATTTTACTGATGCCGACTTTATCGCTTCCGATACAACAAATTTACCAGCGCCATCATCATTCTTATCGTCTACATATTCTGAATCTATCATCTCTCAAAATTTACTCCCTGCAACAATATCAGAAGCATCAACTTCCTCTTTTGCAATCTCTCCGACTGTTTTACAACCCATTCCTCATGTTGATAATAAGAATAAAAGAAAAACAAACAAACGGGGAAAAACTGCAATAATTACAGATTCTCCATACAAACATGAGCTGGAAGAAGCAAAGAAACGAACTATTGCTAAGAAATGTAAAAAAAATCTAAAATTGTGAAGTTTAAAAAACTTAATTTGTTGTTAATTTAATAAGTCTAAGAGAAATACTTTGATTGTGTTAATTACAAGTTTAAATATTTAATTTTATTTATAATTAATTCATACTAAATAAATAATACCTATACAATTTTGGTTTCAAGTTAATTGGTTGAATAATATCTTGGTCCATTTTACCCCATGAAATGATCCGTTTTACCCCAACTGCGGGCTAAAATGAACTAAAATTAAATTTTGCAAAAAATTCAATAATAACAAAGCATTTGCAAGTTTTAAAAATTTACAATTATTATCTTATAATAAACATTTTAAAGTTTACACATGCAAAATTTAAGCTATTTTTTGCAATTATGGTAAAAAATATGATCATTTTCGCTTAAGTAGTCCATTTTACCCCACCTTCCCTTTCCGAGTTGAGGCTTGAAATCATTTCTTAATTTTACATAAACCGTAAAATATCTTGTAAAAATATTCATTTTTCCATTATCTTACTTTAATACTTTTACTTGTACAAAATAATGAGAGAAATCAATTGGTGTAAAGAAAACATATAATTGTTTCGGAGAAAAAATATGTAATTGTTAATTGCAAATTATATATTTTTTCTTCGAAACAACTTAAGGTTAAATTAATGACACCACCATCTTATGTCCCCCTTGAAACCATACAACTTTTGACACATTTTTTTGTAAAAGGAGTAGGAAAAGAGATATTTGGGGTGGGACATTAAAATGGCCCACCCTATATGTATGTGTATATTTTATTTGATTTTATTTAAATATCTTCATTGAATTAAAATATAAATACTGACCTTTTTAAAGAGAGATAAGCTTTGCTGTTCAATTTCAAATCCATGGCGCCGTCGCAAATTAGAGCTACTTGGAGCAGTATCGCACCAATAAGGAAGGTGAGGCCTACAGCACTCTGACTGTACCGTTTGAGGAATGTCATTAGAAAGCCGAAGCCGATCCAAATCATCACGTGGATATCTTGGTACACTGTGTTATTTTAACAATTTTAGATAAGAACGAATATAAAAATAGCTTTTCATAAGTGTATAATTTATGCGATTAAAGAATATATTATGCTTGCTTGCTTCATATTTATTTCTTTTCATAAATATAAGCTATATTGAGTTTTAATTATTGTTTGCAATTATTATTTAAAACAGTAAGATATAAAAGAGGTGTATATAATTTATACAGATCTCTCGATTTATTGATTTGCGTGCATTGCACATTCTCACTATAAATGAATTGAAATATGAGTATGAATTTAGCAGTGACTCCATTTGTAACACAAAAGAGAACGATAGAATAATAGAATAATAAAATGAGAATAATAGTAATTCCCAACTAAAACTCTGTTATATAATGTTTATTCTTTTCTCGTTCTTTGTTTTATATTTTCTTATTTCTCCTAATAAAGATAAATATAAAAATATGTATAAAAAGTTACACCTCACTAATTTTATTGCCACTTAAATATATTATAGCGGAAATCATTCTGAGTAATCCTCCCCAAAAATCAAGTAAAAGATGGCATTAGAAGTTTAGAAGATATAATAAAATCTGGCAATTTTATGATATTTTTCCTTAGATATTATAAAATGATATTAGAAACAGTGAAGTTTGTGTATAATTTGATTAATGTTGTACTAATCTATTTATTGTTGTCTAAATAGAAAAAAAAATATTTATTTACATCGAAAAGATAGCTTAGTAAGATAGCTTAGTCTAATCCATTAAGGGGTAACACCACTCTAGCGGCCGAAAAAAAGGCCTAACTTTGACAATTTTTTTTGGGAATATAATAAAAGGAATGGGAATTTTTTTTAGAGGGTTTATTCAACATATATTTAAGTATAGAAAAAAATTTTTTTATTATTATTTTTGTACAAAATGGCGACGAAAGAGCTAATCTTCGAAATGATCTTTTTAAAAAACGCTTCCAGTAGCGAACCAATTTCTCGTGAAATATAAGACCTAGAACAAAAAACCAAAAAAATTTTAAATTTATATACTATTGGCTATAGAAGTACGTAGGGATTTTTTATTTAATCAAATTTTGTAGAAACAGTGCACTTTTGAAAAAAAAATTCGATTTTTTGCTAAAAAATAAGCAGTAAATTGTTTATAAAATAAAAAGTTTACATCGAATCGAAAAACCCCTACGTACTTCTATAAAGGATGTAATTGTGAAGCTACTGTCAAAATTTCAAACCGATCCATGCATCCATGTTGAAGTAATGTGTTCGCTAAGATTGAAAAAAGCGGTTTCGAGAAAAACACGTTTAAAGTTTTACGAGCACTTAAAATGCTTGAAATTTATGTTTACCTGTAATCGGCGATGCCTGCATCATACATTTGGCCATCCAGATTGATGCTCGCCTCTTCTTCTTCCTTCCTGAATGATTTTAATAGCAATCGGGCCTCTTTTGCAGCATCAGTCAGCGATCACTCCGAATACTTGATGCGGCGCTCGTCCGTTTCGACGAGAAATTATAACAGTTTGTCCCAATTTACATGCCTAAATTTTGCATGAGCCTCATGACACTTGATAGGCCATCATTATATATGCCTACATCAATATATATGGCAGTATCAAGCACATGCTTGCCACTGGAGGTCGATTTCGGAGCCATTGACCAAACTGTCGAATTGAAACTCTCGTTGCTATTTTGAGTATAGCCGCCAATGCAACGAACTGTCAAATCAGCATAAGGCTCTGAATCCATGGTACCTTTGAAAGTCTTAGAATCTCCGTCCCCCACGTAATTTGCATATTTTAAATTGTGCAAAGAATTTGAGCGCTGGAACATTTCTATAACGGCGTCCACCTCCATCTTTCCGGCGGAGTCCTCGTAGTTAGCTTGGCATTGGTTTTCATGCGTTTCGATCCATTCCTTGTACTTCTCAGTGTCTTTTTGTTTCTCCCAAAATTCAAAAGATTTACAATATTTTGATTTTACAACAACATCAACCAGTTTGCCGGTAAGCCATCCAATAAGCGATACGAATCCGAAAAGTGACGAAAAACCCCGCTTTCTCCACGAACCATCACCAGATACAGTAACACCATCTGTATTCTCTTTCTCATCACTTTTTTTCTTTTCTTCCTGAGCTGCAGTTTTCATACTGAGCTGACAAACCGCCTCTGCTCCAATAGCGATCCTTTTAACGACTCTGTCGTAGAATGATTGAAAAATTGGTTGTGGGAGATCCATAAACGCGCAAAATTTCATTATTCCATTTAGTCCTACTCCGAGTAGCCGCATAGCAAGCACAATTCGACGATTAATATCGTATCCTTTTTCAATAAATGGAGAACTAGGAATATAAATTTTCTCACAATTTTGACACGAAATTACAATTTTAAAACCCAAACCACGCTTTGCAGATTCGGTGAATGTCACTTCAGATTTGCATTTTTTACAAACAACAGCTTGTGATATAGCGGAGAAAACGGCTAAAAAGTTCAAAATTCGGTACCCAAATCCTTCTTCTACTTCAAATTCTTCAAGGTCCATTTGTAATCATTTGCGAGCCGATGTGCCAGCCTTCTCGAGATCCGGCATCTCCAGTTCGTAACGGTTCAACGGTCGCCGCTTTGAAATTCTCGGTCTCTTCAAATTACTAGCACTTCCAATTGTGCCTTTTTTCTCTTTATACATTTTTCTTTTACCACTCATCTTGTTTATCACTCAGAAACAAAGAAATATATATACAGAAAACAGAGAAAGCAACGGAAAAATCAAAACTATGCGTATGCTTGGCGTCACATTGGCAGCTGTACTGACTCAAAAATACAAGTTTATTTCGGCAGTAGCGTACCCTGGTGATCTTTTGAGTAACTCTAAGCATCTTCTGCACTATAAATAACAGGGCCACTTATTATCCTGAAAGGTAAAACAGGATAAAAGCGATGAATCCGAATGCGACGCGTTAATGCTCAAGGGGCGCTCCGAGGCGCTGCGGAAAAATCGTTGGTAGAGCCTTTAAAAAAATTTTTTTTTACTATAAAACTTAATGCATATTGTTTTTATGATGTTAAAGCATTGTGTAAAGCAAAAAAAAAATCGATTTTTTTCAAAATCCTAGAGTGGTGTTACCTCTTAAAGTAATCATGGATAGTTTATCAATAATCGATTTCATTTATTTCTCATAGTTTATTAATAGTTTTCATTATGCAATTATATGAATTTCTAAATTTTGTTGATATATAGGATAATAACAATTTTCCTATTTTATCTATTACTTAATAAATCTTGTTGATCGAAAATTATTCACGGACATATTAAACGTCCATGATGTGAAACATAACTGTCGGCTTAAAGTGCATATTTTTCCTGTGTTATGTTGTAAAATAATAAACAACGCAGACATAAAAGAGAACGTAAAGTATGATGTAATTTTAGAACAAATTTGCTTTATAACATATGAGTTTTTTATTTAAGTTTGTAACATGTATAATTTATTTCATATTTTTTAATTTACTCTTTCATATATCCTCTTTAAAACGTCCTTCCTGGATAAGCTTAATATTCAATCTCATATTGTTGCAACTAGTCAAATTTTTATTGTTTTCTTATTATATTTCTACTCGCAATGTTAACTTTTCATTTTCATATTAAAATTTTTTTTTAACTTGATTAGCTAAAAGATAATAGTGAAATATTAAAAAGAGAAGGCATTATATTGTGAAAATAGACAAAGTTAAAATTTGAAAACTCAAATTTGAAAAAGATCGAAATATTACATGGCAGTAGATTCTTGGCAGTTTTAAAATAGGAAAATTGTTTGTCGAGTATATATCTAATCAGCAGATGCATTATTTAACAATGTAAGAATTATATATGTTTAATTAATCATACACTGAAAAAAATCGTTTAATTGTACCAACAAAAGATATATAATTGAAGGCATTTTGATTATCAAATTGGTAAATCAAACAAGAATTTCTAATTATCATTATGATAAGACTTGATTTTTTATAACTAGAACGTTTAATAGATTTTACTATAAGGATTTGGTTAGTATTTTCTGGTTGGATCTATAAAATTTCTTGTTACATTAATTTCTTTGCTTGCTTCTTAACTTAACTCATATTCAATATTTGCCATAAAATGTATATAAAGAACTAGTATTAACATTAAATCCAAAGTATATTTTTTTTCTCTTACGAGCAGTAGTGCCAGAAAGAGGACGCTAGCTCTCTGATTGTGTGTGTTTGAACTGCATCCTCTTCTTGCATCACTGTTTATCAGTTTAATTTCTAACAAACTGAATTTAAAATAATTTATTCAATAATAAGGAATGTATCCAATAAGCTTGTTGGAATTCAGAATATTAAAACTTTGAGATAGATGAAAATAATTTAGACAGGATAAAAAAAAAAAAAAAAAAAAAAAAAAAACATCTAATTAATGCCGATAGTAAATGCGATACGATATGATATCGAAATATAAAGATACGATAGGAATATCTAGACTAAATATGGATTGCCGATATTTGCCGGATATAAGGTAATAATAAAAAAACCAAGAAAAGTATCCGATTTAATTATAATATTTTATATTTTATTTGCATAAGAATTATAAAAAATTTCATACTAAGGATTTTGTGCCATTTTTGTTTATAATTAAATTAAATTTTTTTTTTTTGTAAATAGTTAAAACAAGAAGAAAATTAATCAGATTCATCTGGTAATTCGCTAGGGGATTTGATAGCCTGGATTAGTAAAATTGCCGGATACCGGATATCGGATATCCGGAAATAATATAATACCGGATACCGGATACCCCGCCGAATATCCGGTAGACTAAATATCCGGCCGGATTGCCGGATATTTGCCGGATATAAGGTAATAATAAAAAAACCAAGAAAAGTATCCGATTTAATTATAATATTTTATATTTTATTTGCATAAGAATTATCAAAAAATTTCCATACTAAGGATTTTTGTGCCATTTTTTGTTTATAATTAAATTAAATTTTCT